TCTTGTTCTGTTACTTTGTTTTTTATTGCTTTTTTCTAGGACTTTATTTTTGCATCTCGCTTTCTGATGAGTGGGGTGCAGAATTCACTTTTTTGTCCACAGGCCAAATGACTATAATGTTAAAATTTTTACCATCCATTCAATAGATCTCCATTGTTTATTTTGTTTTTTTTGTCTGGTGAGTGAAGCAAATCTACCAACCACTTTCATATTTTACCAGCATTTGGCCGCTGGCCGGTGCCAATTTTGTGCCCTGCTGATGAGTCCATCAAATAACAAAAAAAAATTCCCCTCAGTATTCATTGCTGAGCATTTGAATTGGTGTATTTTAATATGCACCACAACCCCCAATAAACACTATTTCTCTCCTCCCCTAGCAAAGACCTCTAAAAGCTAACCTGCTCTTTTACGCACAATCCATGGCCTGGTAAGTCCAGCATGTTTTCAGCCATTGTAAATTATTAGTTTGTGGTACCTATGCAGGTTTGTCTCAGTCTCTCAGAATGATAGAACACAAACAGCCATGTTGTTGCTGTTTCAGGGTGTTGTGACTCCACAGTAACGTGGTGATGTTCCTTTACGGTGCAATGACTGATATAGGAATGAATGTGTCTGCTCCCTGTGTGAAGGACTGAACGCCAGTGTAATTAAAGGTTGGCTGAGGCTGGGCAATGATGAACTGTCTGCACACCAATGATAGTTGCCTCCTATTTCTGCTTGAATACCCACTCCAACTCCCACTGAGTGTTTGTCTCCTCTTTCCATCATGTCCCATACATGTCGTCTGCATCCCACAGCTCGGTGTTAGTTCGGAAGAGAAGTTGTGTCAGATGTTTGAATAGTCTCTCTGACTTCCTGCCACACCTGGGGGTGTTTCTGCAGTCACACACTCTCAGCATATTCTCATTAATAAACTAGTTGGTGTTTTCCCTTGTGATGCTGTCAGGGCTGTGTCTATCCCTGTTGTTTGCAAGGAAGCTACTCACATAGATTTATAATAACACTTTCCAGTCCAACTGAAATAAAAATGCATATATTTTGCTACATTGATATAGATCTGCTCTAAAGGATATATCTTGTTTTCTTTTTGGTGGAATGTAATAAAAACCAAAAGGGAGACAATTACATTTAATAATTCTCATCTTACTAAGTTCCCCCTGTCTGTGCATCTAGTATCTCTGTATCATTGGGATTCAGCTCTGTAGATAAAGACCTTATTTGCATATAGCCAGTGAAAATGTTGTTGTTTTTTTAAATAAATTTGTTAAATCATGCATACATCTTTCTTTGCATTACTTAGCACTGTCACTGTCCTTTCATCACCATGGCTGTGACATTGACTGATAGCCAAGCTCACAACCAAGAACAAGTCTGTTAACAGTGCATCTCATTATCCCATCCTATTCAGGATAAACTACCTGTGGAATAAATGTGCTAAAAAATCACAAAAATCACTCAGTCAAATTAGCTGGCTTATTCTGACAGAAATATCAGCAATTAATTTGGACTACCAGCTCATATAAGTTCAGCCCAAACAGTCAGGTATGAAATACAGATCAAAATGGACAAACAGACCAAGACCTAGAGGACCCACACAGGTGTTTTCACTTATTTTTGCCTTATTAGAAGTCTTATTAAGCGACACTCACTCATGCTCACAAAATAGGTGGGAAAGCATGGTGACGTGGTGACTACGGCTAGTGGTGGAAGTAAAATAACCTTTAACTTACTAGCCGACCCAGCAGGTGCTGACTGCGAAAGTGCTCATAATGACTTTTGTGTTGGATGTAATCGCTATGATGTCCTATAAAGTTACTGACATTTCTGAGGTCGGGTGAAGAGACAACAAGACTGTTGATGTTAAATTACAAGCTTGTTTACATCCACTGAGTTAAATTCCAGGCTGAAATACATGTGTGTTGATATTTCAGAATTAATTTACTTCTATTAGCCTTTCCTATTGTATCATGTAACACTATCAAACAGCAATATAATGTTAGTTAATAAGTAGGTATATGCTAACGCTGTTGTTTAACGGTAGCTAATTATCAAATATGTGGCTTTACCTTGAAATATGGCCTGATATCCATTTGCACTATCCATTGTCTTTTCAGTTGCTGATCAACTTGTAATCTGTAAAATGATATTGATTTGTCAGATTCCCAACATTTATATGACTTGCAACCTGGAACACAATAGCACAACATTTGAGCTTCCCACCCTGACCGTGACGTGACCTTGTGAGAATATGGTGAATTTTGGGCTCTCTTCCCTCTTAAAGGTCAACATTGCCAAGATGGCTTGCTTTTGGTCAGCTATCTTTTTGCATAAATTCACAAAAAAGCAAGACAAGCGGTGGAAATTAATTACATTAATGGTGGCCCAGTTTTTTATTTAGTCTCCCAGTAAGTGTAAGTGTCCCTGTGCTTTACCTGCTATGGCATGTCAAAATATCTGCTGTGAAAAAGCTCTATTAAAGTAGGTCTTTTTTTGTTGTGACCTACCTTATTTTTTAAAGTTGTCTGTTTTGATAGATATTCCCATCTGACAGAATGGGACACATCAATTTAAAGCCCATTTATTTCACTGGTATCTCATCCTGAGGGAGCAGCTTACAATATCAGACCACCAGCTCAACTGTCAGTCAAACACACCTAACAGCTCGCCCCTTTAGATGCTTCTGGGCTACAGGAGCATTTCAGGACATTAGCAAAGAAACATTTTTTCATTCCTTCAAAAATGAGAAACATGTGAAACATAGGTAAAGCTAAACATTTATCACATTGACATGACTTTTGAGTAGAAAAAGATTTTACTTGTCATTTTGTCCGTTGACTTTAATAGTAATTACCATTTAATATGTACATACTATACAAGCTTAATAAAGAGATGCAGATGAGATATGAAATAACTGTAAAAGGCGTTTGCAATCCTGTATATTGTTTAGGAATTGGTTGAGTCATTGGCCTATTGTTTGTGCTCCTGTTGTGTCTGGTTTGGTCAGTTAGGTTACAGACGGACAGACCTGCACAGCTTGGCCTCATCACTTCCATAACCCTTCACCTCTCACAGCAGCAGTGCAGGCAGGAATGAGGTGGCAGATATACTGCCCACTCCTTAGGATATACCTCTCTAGAGCACATTCACATACTTTACTGCACTGACACAGACACAAGGGTGTTTTCCCCTTGAAATACAATGGACCCAGGATAACCAAAAACCCCTTGGGACTGGGAGGCCATTTAAATCAGTGAAAAGTTCAGATGACTGAAGTGTGTTGAATTACCAAGGTGAAGCGTGTTCATTATATGAAGCACACACACAGTAAGGGCACACACATTCAAATACATCATTCTTTTAAGAGCGATTACATTTTTAAGTAATGGCTCCCTGTTTAAGGCCGTAAAGTTTTGCATTGACATCTTTATTTTTAAGTGTACATAGCGCAGACGTCTTCAACTAAGTGCTGGAATAGATTGTCTGTGAATTTGTCCCACTGCCAGCGGCCTCATCCTCTCTATCTCTCTCACTCTCTCTCTCTCTCTCTCCAATTATTGTTGGTGCTAAGTAAAGCAGCCTTAGAGCAGCTCTGCATGAGACTGCCCGCTGTCCAATCTCCATATTAAAGACTGATGAAAAGGTCAGCTTAACAGCACCTAAACAGTTATCGACAGGTCGGAAGGACGGAGGAGGGGAGAAGGGTGGGGAGGCTCAGTGATCTAGATAAATACCATACAGTCATGAAATTGAAACTGTCATAATATGCAGATTAGGAGGCAAGCTGAGATCATTGTTGAGGAAGAGTGGTTGTGCAGATGGTACCGCTCAGAAGGCACCTGAGGGTAGATGCCAACTGGTGTACTCACGGACAAGGTTCATGGTTAAAGTAGAAATTATGTTTGCTTTAAATACTGCATTTGTACGTTTGAGGTGCTGTCACGCCTTTATCTGGCATGAAATCCAACATTTATAGCCTCAGAGGGATGTATAATATCAGTAGAGTACTTTCAGTTTGAAGATTTCAGATCAATAGTGGGATCTGAAGCCCTCTTCAAGAGGAAATCATTTCTGTTGTAATTCTGTGCTGCCCTACAAAAACACTTTTTGGTATAGAGGATATTGCTGCCTCCAATTAGGGATGTAACGATTACCGG